AACACGGGAAGAGAACTAACCATGGGTCGAGAGGCGCTAGGTGAAATGAATGAGAATGGAGAATTGTTTGCAGAATTCTGCGCATTCAACGATTTGGTGATTGGAGGCAGTGTGTTCAGGCACAAAGATATCCACAAAGCGACATGGATTTCACCAGATGGACACACTAAAAATCAAATCGACTTTATCTCAATCTCAAGAAAATGGAGACGCAGTCTACTTAACACAAGGTCAAGAAGAGGAGCAGAGGTAGGTTCTGACCACTATCTAGTGCAAGGAACCTTCCAAATCAAGCTAAAAGCCTTCAAGGAAGCTGGTGATAGACCAGAGTTCAAGTACAACACTCGGAAACTGAAGGATGAAACTACAAAGGAGATCTTCAAGGCAGCCATCAAGACAAAATGGGAGTTATCGAGGAATATCCCTGAAGAAACCTGTGTGGAAGAACACTGGAAGTCTTTGAAAGCTATGTGGAAAGAAACCTGCACAACAGTATTAGGAAGGAAGAAGAAAGAAGACAAGGAATGGATCTCGACGGATACCTGGGAGCTGATAGAGGAGAGGAGGATGGTGAAGCAGAAGATAAACCAGTGCAAGGATGCTCAACGACAAGAGGAACTGAGCACAATGTATAAAACACTGGACAAAGAAGTGAAGAAGAGTGCACGGAAAGACAAAAGACACTTCTACGAAACACTGGCAAGTGAAGCAGAACAGGCTGCTGGTAGGAGAGACAGAGAGAGACCTGACGACATTGTATCAAATAACCAGGTTGCTATCAGGGAAGAGACCAACACAGATGAAACCAATAAAAGATGAAGAAGGAAATTTAATTACAAAAGAAGAGAAACAGAGGAAACGATGGGCCGACCACTTCAAGAAGCTCTTGAATCGACCACCACCTGCACTTCGTCCAGAAATACCACCTACATCCGCTGAACTACAAGTGAACATTAATCCCCCAACGAGAATGGAAGTCCTGAACGCCATAAAGCTACTGAGATGCGGGAAAGCAGCAGGACCAGATGGAATACCGCCAGAAGCACTGAGAACAGATGCAGAGACAACAGCGGACATGCTCACACCACTATTGCAGAAGGTGTGGAAGGAAGAGAAGGTACCGGACGATTGGAAGAAGGGTTACCTTGTCAAACTGCCGAAGAAGGGAGACCTCAGTGCTTGCAAGAACTGGCGCGGAATCACTCTCCTGTCCACCTAATGCAAGCAAAATATTAAGCCGCATCATCCTGGAGAGGCTTAAGGATGCACTGGATTCAAAACTACGACAGGAACAGGCAGGCTTCAGGAAGTACAAATCATGTGCAGACCAAATTGCAACGCTTCGCATCATCATAGAACAGAGCATAGAATGGCAGTCAACTCTCCACCTCAACTTCATCGACTTTGAGAAGGCCTTTGACAGCGTCGACCGAGAAGTAACTTGGAAACTGCTTCAATACTACGGAGTACCGCAAACCTTTATCCGCCTCATTCAACAACAATATGAAGATGCCACATGCCAAGTAATCCACAATGGGAAGCTCAGTGATGCCTTTGAAGTGAAGACAGGAGTGAAACAAGGTTGCCTACTATCCCCCATGATATTCCTTATTGTGGTGGACTGGATCATGCAGCAAACAGTGGGAGCTGAGAGAAGAGGGGGATACGCTGGCTGACTGCGAAAAAGAACCTAGAACATCTGGATTTCGCCAACGATGACTTGTGCCTGATGTCACACAAACTTGAAAATCTACAGGCGAAAACTAACAAGTTGTCAGAAGAGGCAGCGCAGCGAAGACGGGACTTCAGGTGAAGAGAAGAGAAGACAGAAGTGATGAAGATACCGCACCACCACCACCAACAACAACAACAAACTCCAATCACCATCAATGGGAGAAACTTAAAGGAAGTAACCTCCTTCACCTACACCTATCTAGGAAGCACTGTTTCAACTACAGGCGGCACAGGCACAGACGAGGATGTCAAAGTCAGAATCGGACAAGCAAGACAGGCGTTCATTAGCCTGAAACCAGTGTGGAGATCTTCTGCACTGCACTCAGCATGTGGAACAATATACGGATTTTCAACACCAACGTCAAGTCAGTGCTTCTGTATGGTTCAGAGACTTGGCGCGTTACGAAAGGGATTCCCAATAAACTACAGACATTCATCAACAACTGCTTACGCTGACTCGAGACTGAAGATCAGATGGATTGCCAGAATAATCAGAATAAGCAACAAGGAGCTCTGGGAACGAACCAACCAAGAACCTATCACCCAACAAATATGAAGAAGTGGAGATGGATTGGGCATACACTGAGAAGGCCGACTGGGGACATCACCTGTCAGGCCAATTACTCGAGTGGAATCCCCATGGGAAGCGACGAGTTGGACGTCCGAGGGTGACATGGAGGAGGTCATGCGAGGAGGAAATGAGAGGTTGTGGGCTGTCGTGGGACCAGGTTCAAAAGATCTCAGAGAACAGAGGTCACTGGAGGCGTGCTACTGAAGCCCTATGTTCCACTAGGAACCCAAGGGACTAATAATAATAATAATAATATTACACCTTTGAATGTATTTCTGAATACCAGTCCTTTTGATTTGTACTTACGTATTAGGTAAGGTACTGATTAAGCAGGTACTAGAGCACATCGGGTTAAGTAGGGTTGGTCAAGCACCACATAATAGTAAGATAACCAGCTCCCCTACAATTTTATTGGACGTCATTTCACTATTCATAAACTTACCGTTAACAAAAATAACCAATTTATTTCTTATGTAACTTCATTTAATCCGGAAATCTAGATGTTAACCTGCTAAATCTGAGAGAATTTCTCTCTTTCAGATATAATGATGAAATTTACAGACAAAATGATGACGTAGTAATAGGATCGCTTTTTAGACCCTCTACTTGCCGATTATTTTATGCCTAGTCATGAAAATAGTACATTGTTCACAAAATCGATCAACTTTATATGTATGAAAGATACATCTATTGTTGATATTGACAACCTGAATAGGAAATGTTTTCTTCAAAATGTCAACAATAGTCACTCTTCAGTCAAATTTACACTGAAAACTGAATTTGAAGTCAGCGTTTCATCTTCTCAGCGTCAGACCCCAAATATCCATCTACAGGAAGCCTATTTGGAACAAGTAACTGATCAACTTTTAAAGTTGAATACCTTTATATAAGAAAAGGTCACTGGTCACGACTTCTCATTGGGACTTCAGGAATACTTCTCGAAGCTAGTCACCAATGATCACCAGTTCAATTGAATTTTGGTGACTAACTTCGAGAAGTATTCCTGAAGTTCCAATGAGAAGTCGTGACCAGTGGTGGCGAAGCCTGATGATCGTGAGGACAGTTACTCAACGATGACATTGGGTGGCGGTTGCACTATATCGTGAGCTAACAGAACTTGGAAATATGGAGCATTGGATTGTGACCCAGTGGCTAGCTCAATGGTAATGTGCTGGCCGTGGAACCTGAAGGTCACGGGTCCGATCATTGGCGGGTGGGGTCGTGGGTGCGCACTGCGGGGGAGTCCCATACTAGTCGGACGAAACAGCTGTCCAGTGCTCCCAGGTTTCCTTTATTCCTCCAACTGATGTCAGTCTACGATAAGTAACGACTTGAAATATTTACTTATTTATCAGATACCAAATTTTACTATCCAGTCCATTTTCTAAAAAACTTCTTAGACCCCTTCCTGTGTTATGTAATATCATTTTATTCCCTATCTGTATAGATCGACTATCTTTGACAGGAAACTTTTCTGGAATATTTTATCATTCACTCATATATTTACAAGTGTACAGCTATGAAAATCAGTTATGGAAAGAATAATTATCTTTTCTGTAATCTCTTTTCACTTTTCTATAAAATGTAAAAGTTGATTTACGTTTAAGCCAGATCCTAAGGGACATCCTCCTTAGGTTGGTGTAACAAACGAACTTTTTAAGTACTTTCGAATTGTCAAAGTTGCATTTGTAAGTGAAGAATGTTACTACTAATTCTCAAATAGCCATAAGACAAAGTAGGGTATTCATTTTTTTCTAACCTCCCCTCCCTTGAAGAGAGTGGAGGTTTGCACAGCAATTTTAATTGCTCTTAGACCTATCACTATGCAAGAAACCGTTCTACCATAGTAACAAATTAAGAGAAGATAATTATAATCGGTAAACCTTGCTATTAAGTTAAGGTAGTAGGTCTTGGTGTAGGACTAGTCAAGCAGCCTAACTGCTAGCTTAGACTCAATATAAAACAAGTTTACTTCAAGTACCTAATAAACATGTTACACTAAGCCTTTTTATTTGTGTTCTACCAAGTACTGTGATTACTTAACCTTAGCAGGGCTTACAGATGTAGATTTCGTGTGTCGCATTTAAAAGAACCCTAGTTAGTGACGGAGGTTACAAGGTCAGTTTTGGATTTTCCATATACAAAATGAATAATATCCACCCATTATATTTACTAAGCAGATTGCAACGTAGTGAGTCATCGGGGGTATCGAGACATCCGCATGGGAGCCAATCTATCAACAAAATTCAACCAGATCGACCCAGTGTGTCAACGGAAAGTCACAAGTATCAAACAACAAGAATGTCTGAATTCCCTTGCGAATTTCTTGACTTTCAAGTCGTTGGTATCCGATAAAGCGGAAATTATCCAGCCGGCATGATTACATACACTTGCTTATAAACTATCTGTACCTAGTTACTATCTCTACAGTACTTCTTTCAGACTTTCAATTAAGGAAATCGATAGGGACATTTTCATTACTCTCGGTAAGGACTCTCTTTTAGCTAGATGTGATTTCTTCAGGTCAGTGTAAAATAATGTAGTTTTCTGTGACTGCAGCCTAGTTCAAGAATGCGGTATATCATGTGTCACCTAGTATCAAGCACTAATACATACTTTCGATTAAATAAACAAAAGAAAATGCAATAATATTTGACCTACCAATTTTTCTGTGCCATCCTTGAACTGTATTCAGATGCTGATCATTACTTAGGAAGTCTGATCGATTCACAATTGGATTCATGGAGTTCATATGTGTTATATTATGCGTCTGGGGTAATCCTAGCGTTGCTGTAAAATCTGATCAAATTGGCTTATGGAGTTTGATCATTAAAGTAAGTATTCACCTTAATATTATCTGTAATATGTTCCAGTTGGGAGAAAAATGGATACGAATTTGTGTGAAATTTACATGGACTTAAATGTGAATGTTCAGATAATATACCATTTCCATTTAAACTACTACTATTTAAATAAGTAGTTGCATTCGGAAGGGATAAATTATTTGGGGAGTGCATGTCTGGTTTCGGACAGACTGAGTAATCTGGATTGTCTGTTTGTGATAATAGTTCCATTTGTGGAGTATACAAACTGCGATTGTTATTGGGATTACTGAGATTATTATAGATACTTTCTGCATTTATTACAATTTTCGTAGAATCATTTGTTGTTTGACGTGAATTTTTTGTTATGTTATTATTATTTATTGACAAACGAAATAGAGCTCCAGACTTTTTCCTTTTTTTCCATTTAGCCCGACGATTTTGAAACCATACCTGTAAAAGAAAAATTTTGTTTCTGTTATAACTATATATTATTCACCTGTCTTACTGACATGATAACTTGGCAAATACAGCATATTTTAGTTATCGAGTTCAGTCAGTATACAAGCATGAGGACAGTTAATTAACGACGATATTGGATGGAGCCATTCTGTATTGTGAAGTGACAGAAGTAAGAAATATGCACCGTTGGATGCCGATCCAGTGGCTCAATGGTAATGTTCTGACTGTGGGACCTAGAGCAACTGGGTTCGATCAATAATGTGGCGGGGTCGTGGTTGCGTACTTCGGAGAAGTCTCATACTAGGACGAAACAACTGTTCAGAGCCCCCAGATTTCCAATATCTCTCTGACTAATGTCAACCCACTATGGATTCCAACCTGAAATCAGTCAATAAATCTCCAGAAACCTCCAGATAGGAGAATAATAATAATAGTTTTATTCTAAACAATTTTGATACAATTTGGAAGTCACAACATGTGTTATGACAACAAACATGTACTTCTTCACAACCTTTCGAAAAGTGTTAGTCATAAAAAGTTAAATTATGTAAATAATATTAATAAGGGGGGATTTTAAACATGAATGTGTTTGGAGTATTAAAAGGACTTATGATTTAGTATTACAAAGCTAATCAATGAGTTCTCTTCTAACACTTATTTCTCCACATAAGATCCATGCTAGATAAGGCAAAGATGAATTGTTAAATTTAGCCGTAAAAATGTACAGTCTTACATAACTGCTTCATGTTCTCTCCAAGGAAATACGAAAAGGAAGCTTTGAATAAAGTGGGTGCTAGATAAAATGACTATAGCTGATTGTCTGCTTTAATTCAAATCTCTGTCAACTTTAGTACTAACCAGAGACAAATCACTTACCTTACTGACAGCTTTCAAACCCCTGCATAACATAAAATAGTCCCTACTTAATAGATCAGGAAATACTCACATGAAACAATAGAGAATAATAGTCAAAATACAGGGATTAACATATTATAAAAGTAGAGACTGAGTTATACTAGACAGTCTCAGCTTCCTTCTGTAATTACTCAAAGTTCTAAGAAAGCCTGAGTTCACTACAGGACTTGTGACACAAGTCTTCTTAACATCTGACCCTAAAATTAGTAGTTTGACATTTAGAAGGGCTTAGATTGAAACTATTTGAGAAAGATCTCGAGCCTATTTCAGGTGAGAAATCATTCATTTGAGAGTAATCGAAATGAGAGATGATTGATACAGAAGCCATCAGGTCATCAGCATACTCATTAAAATTATTTTCAATAGAATGAGGTAAGTCATGCAAAAAGAAAAAACAGAGAAAGTACTGTGTCTTGAGACATACCGGCTTGAATAAGCTATGAAGTGAAGAGTTCTTACACGACAGAAGTTTCTAGCTTCATTTCGTGTTTGGATGTCATATTTCATACTTAATTAGACAGTTAGATCTTTTGCTGCTAGAGTGATGTTTCACCTCATACAACCCTTCCTTTCCTCTTAAAGGTTGTTTCAACAAGGCAGTAAAAATGGAGACAGAATCTGACATACTTGTGATAGTGTTGTCTAAAACTTCATCAATAAATATATCCCGACTGTTTGTTTTAGCATACTTTTCAAGCTCAGTTTATTGTCCTGTGAATAATATTTGTGCTGAACTTTCTTGGAAAAGTATCCAATTACCTTATTATGTAATTCCCTATACACTTTGGGCAATTAGTCTGTTGTAAACACCAAATCTCGTATATTGTCAAGATGCATAGAAAAGTTAACCAGTTCCTAGTGGAATATAGGGCTTCACTAGCACGTCTCCATTCCACTCTCTTCTCAGCAATATTTTCAACCTGGCTCCACCACTGCCCACTACCTCTCATTTCTTCCTCACACCATCTCCACCATGTCACCCTCGGCACCGACACCCAACTCATCGTTTCCCATCTGGATTCCACTCGACGACTTGGCCTGACGCGTGATGTCCCCAGTTGGTTTTCTCAGTGTATGCTCAATCCATCTCCACTTCCTTCCAGTGCATATTTGTTCAGTGATAGGTTCTTGCTTCGTTGGTTGGTTCGTTGCCAGCCAGGCCAGAGTTCCTTGTTGCTTATTCTTATTATTCTGGCAATCCATCTGAGCTTCGTTAACGAGCCAGTATAGGCAGTTGTTGATGAATATCTGTAGTTTGTGGAGAATCCCTTTCGTAACGCACAGAGTCTCTAAACCATATAAAAGCACTGACTTGACTGAATCGGTGTTGAAAATCCGGATCTTGTTCACTCTCATGCTGAGTGCAATAGATCTCCGCACTGATTTTAGATTAATGAAAGCCTGTCTTACTTTCCCGATCCTCGTTTCGACATCCTCGTCTGTGCCACCTGCAGTTGAAACAGTGCTGCCTAAGTAGATGGGTAGGTAAAGAGACTAATTCCTTTAAGTTTCTCCCTTCATGGTGATTGGTCCTTGTTGTTGATGCTATTGTTGGTTGGGTATCTTCATCACCTCTGTCTTCTCTATATTCACTTGAAGTACCGTCTTCTCTGCCCTGACTCTTCTGTCAAGTTGTCGGTTTTCGCCTGTAGATGTTCGAGTTTGTGCGACATTAACACAAGTCATCGACGAAATCCAAATCTCCTAGGATCTTTTGATTGTCCAACTAGCGTATGCCCCTCTTCTCGCTCCTCACAGTTTCTTGCATGATCCAGTCGAACTAGTGGTATACAGAAACTTTAGTCATATAAATTAAGATCTCTACAGACTATATGTAGAGAAAGAACTACCAAGAATAAGGACACAAATTCAGTCGACTCATCAACGAAAGTTGATAATCGGAGAAACCGAGGTCAGATGTGATATAAACATTGTTATATAAATATGTTTGCATTTACTGAAATGCTTAAGAGGACATTTAATAGTAATACTGTCATTGCTATTTGTTGATATACTTGTAATTCTCCGTTGTGATACTAGATGGAATTCTCCGACCTCTGTTGGTATATGGGCTCCTATGTGATTGCTTCGATATTACCTGAATGTTAATTATGGTAACTTGCTCGGTTGTGGCAAATGGGTTACGCTTTGTTGTTTTAAGCTATGGTCACGAGGTTCGAGTCCCAGTGGGAACAACATCATGCCGCATTGGCGTACAGGTACATCCAGCTGACCAGTGAGTCCCAAATAGGACGAAATGCATGTCCTGGATTCTTTTATTAGCCAAAAGAAGTAAATTACATTAATACCATCAATTTTATCGTTGAAGAAAGTAAACCATACCTAGTTGGAGGTGGACCATTTTACATTCATAAATGCTGCTACATCCCTACGACCTTTCTTAGAAATATATTGATCTTGTTGACATAATTTGAGACCATTTAGATACAGTAAATCACTATAATGTCATTTTTCTTGCATTCCTGGTGCACCCGTATTACGACTACTACTTACGAATAAAAGCGACTGAAGGTAATCAACTTTCTTCCGTAAATACCTGCAGCCTTTGCTTTGAAGTTCCGGAAGTCATTTAATCTATGGTCATACACTTTAGAGGCTATTGCCATCCATCATGGCACTTCTTCTAAATTTTTCTTTCACTGAAAGATCATAATGATTATAAAAATGCTTGAAGGCGTAAAGTACGATTATTATTATTATTATTTATTATTATTATTATTATTATTATTATTATTATTATTATTATTATTATTATTAGTTGTCCCTTGAGTTCGTAGTGGAATATATGGATTCAGCAGCACGTCACCATCTCACCCTCTTCTCTCCAGCCCTATCTACTTCACTCCACAACTCAAAAGAACCTTTCGTCTCTCCCTCACACAATCGCCTCCTTGTCAACCTCACCTCACACACCAAACTCCTCTGCCCCATCACCCTGCCACTCCACAGTCTGCCTCACCTCACCTCACCTCACCTCACCTGAAGCCTGATCTACACAAACAGTATTCTCAATATACGTCAAATCCAATCCAATCCCATCCTATCCATCTACACTTCCTTCTCCCCCATATTTGTTGGCAGATAACTTCTCGTCGGTTGTTCGTTACCAGTCAGAGTGACTCACTTCTCACTTATTATTCTTATTATTATTCTCCTCATCTATCTGATATTCACTATCGAGTGAGTGTGAGCGGCAACTCTTCATTTATATCTTCACTTTGTTGGAAATGCATTTCGTGACGTGTCGCCAAGTCTCTCAACCATCACATAGAATCACTGACTTACTTGACTGACTTGTTGTTGAGAATCTGGATCTTGTTCACACTTTGTGCTGAGTACAGTGCAGTGCATATATCATATCACTCTACTGAGAGAAAAAAATAATCAGTAGTAGATCCAGTCAACTCGATCTTAGTGAGTTTATTTGAACAGGACATATAGATTTAAACAGATGACTTGTAGAAAGAGATGATTGTTAGCGGATGAGATTCTGAAACGACACAAGTATCTTTTCTATTAAACCTTGAATACTTCAGATTCATTTTCAACTTTGAGGTTTGTGCAGATTTCCCAAGT